GTTGTTTTTGTTTACATGTTTACTGTTTTGTCTGTTGCTACGACGATGATGATGGGATGTCATATATATGAGGAAAATGAGGAAAACTGATATGACACACAGAGGGGCGGGGCTTGTATCTTTCAGTCATTCCAGTTAAAAGAGCAGTTTGAAATTCAGCCTCCGCGTTAAAATAATCTCGTGACCTCGTGAGTGAAACTCCAGATTAAACCGCCAAAATCTGGTGCGATCGCTTCGAGTCGCCTCATATTTACATATTTATCATCTCATTTTCTCAGACAGAAAACTACAAATATTCCTCCAACAGTCGTTTAGCTGATGTTTAATGTCACAAATCAGCATTATTTTAAATTAATAGAAGCATATTTGTCCCACTGCATCGCACCAAAGTCTGTTAGCTTAATGTCAACCATCCTTTATGTGAAAAACAGCTGATTTTAAAGTTTTGCTTCCCGTTTTCCCGACTGCACAAAAATTAATCAGAGTTAAGGAAGGGAAAGTGAAGTGTACGGAGCTCCTGGACTATTTGAATCTTTTGTGAACACAATATTTATCTTTCACAACGAGTTACTTTGCACTTCAGCTCTTAACTAACCTCAGCAAACAGTTTTTATTGAAATATACCAACAACAATAAATGTCATCTGTATGGGAGAATCTTGTGCGCACAATTTAAACTTTCTCCACACAACTCATTTAATTGTGGTGCGATTTTTGTGCACACATTTTATCCTTACTGTATGAACGCATTATTCAAATGTGTGATGAATTCACTGAAATCTTTTCCTTATGAGTTATTTATCGCGTGTGGATCGTTTGCTATAAATTCACTTGTGTGTCTCGAGTGTGCAGCTTCACTCACACAACTCTGATAATCAGGTTTTGGTTTGATCACATTCAAATCACACACGTGAAAACTTGTGCGGACAAGATTTTGCCTCTTCAGTGGTTTTAGGGGCTCTGCAGACTTGCGACATTTTCACCGAGCATTAAAAAGAAAATCGTCCGCTCCGATGCACAGGAGCAGACGAAGCTGCCTTCCTGTGGCGTTATTTCCCACAGCCCGCCGTGTTTTTTCCTGGGCATCACACACGAGCCACGGTTGTTCCGCTAAAACGTCGTTATCTCGATAATTACCTCCTGAAAGCATCGTTCTCCTCGTGTCATTTTACCACGTTAGCATCGTCAGAGGACATTACAGAAACGAACGCAGAGACCTCCGGCCTCGCCCCGCCTTCCCCTCTGTTTGTTGGCATAGCAACAGACTAGTATTAAGAGAATAGGGGTTGCCATATTAGGTTTTCATTTCAGTTTGTTGATGACAGTATTGGGATTTTAACGTTTACCCTCAGAAACAAATAATGAAAGAAACGATTGTTAAACTACGCAACTTTTTATACAATGAGCAATACAGTCATTATAATTGTTGTTATTGTTATAATTACCCTGCTTGGATCCTATTGGCTCCTCAGTGTGTCAGTGTTGGAGCTAAAGCTCTCTGATTGGTTCATGAGTCCAGACCATTGATGTTTTAACAAATCTGGTTTCTTTTTGGAGCTTTTTTTCTTTTCTTTTCTGTTTTTTTAATAACAGCTGCTTGTTTTCGGGGTCCGAGGGGAAGTTTGGTAACCGATGGTCGAGACTTCTTTCAGTCAGAGTTTTACACGAGATCAGAGACGCGTCCGGACCAGAGCCGCGCTCCACGTCTGCCCGTTGTCATTCTGTCCTCGTCGGCATTAAGTTTAAATCGTTTGGCGACTTTGCAGCTGAAAGACGCTGAAGCGTGGCTCTGATCTGGTCCGGCGTGTTCAAAGAGATAAATCTGTGTATGCTCTTTACATAATCTGATGAATGGTAATGGTGATGCTTCGTATAAATATAAATAGTAATCTGATGAATGAGTGAATAAATGAATGAGTGAATTAACAGCCAAGCCAAATGTAACCAGACTGCACTCTGTGACGGTGTTAATGAGTGAAAATAAAGCGCGAATGATCAAACAGATAAAGTATTAAAAGAGGAGAAGAAGGTGGTGATGTACAGACTGTTAGCACAGAGCTGATAAAGACAAATAGCCAGGATTTTATTTTGGTGGTGAATCTGACTGCTCCTGATGATTAAACGCTCTGAGACAGACTGCAGCGACTGGCCTCGTTACTCATTCTTTCTCACACAAACACACACAGCGAGTAACACCTGTCTTTAAATAATCCAAATATTTCATTTCATTCCCTTGGATTTGTTGTTCCTGCATCTTAAAGGTTTCCAACCCCATGATTTACACTCTGGAATAATGCTAATGCTAATTTATCTTCCACTGGGCTTTGGTGGAGCACATCATTCATCCATTTTCTGCTTTTGCTCACTCCAGAACCTCCAAATCCACAATTTTCACCGTGCATTAACCAAAACAACAAAAGCTGAATTTTAACTCATTTCTTCTGATTGGCTGCTCCTCGCAAATATGGTTTGAAGAGCAGGTTGGCGAGGCTTCTGTGCTCAAACTCCAGCCATGTCCCCAAGATGACCATAATGGGGTATCCCCTCTTTATGACATCACACACATTCACGAGTAGAGCTTAGATCAAGGGGTGTCCAGGCCTCAAGGGCCGGTGTCCTGCAGGTTTTAGATGTGCCCTTCATACATCTGATTTAAATGACTAAGTTCTCCAGAGGCCTGGTAATGAACTCATCATGGCTGACCCAGGGTGAGATCTAAAACCTGCAGGACACCGGCCCTTGAGCCCTGGACTTTATCAGACTTCATCCTTTAAAGCTGAACATATTTAAAGTTAACAGCGTGCCTGGAAACAATAAATGTAATGGACTCATTGAGCGCTTTTCTACTCAAGCACTCAAAAGTGCCTCGCTTACCCATCCATACAAGCTTTCTGTCTAGCATTCACACACATTCACACTCTGATGGGTCCATCGGAGAGTAACTCGGGGTTCAGTATCTTGCCCCAAGGACACTTTGGCATGCTGACTGGAGCAGCTAGGGATCGATCTGATTAGCAGATGAACTGTTCTGCCTCCTGAGCTACACCGACCATCAATTTTAAACTTTTAACCCTTAAAGTTTGAGATTTTCAAAATAAATCCTCTCTGCTGTCCTTCATCCTCTGTCTTAAAACCAACAGTTTGAGCTTCTCGTGCCACCAACTCTGCAGCTAGTCAGAGTTATAAGGCTGTCTCCTGGCTTCTTGTGTACTTTGTTTGCCCTCTAGTGGCCAACAGTGGCAAAAGCACAAATTTGGACTACATAGTTTAAAACAACAACACTGTCGTTTAACGTTGTGAAAACTATATCAAAACTCTAAGATTAGAAACGAGTGCTGTCAAATGACCATAATTTGATATAAATGGTCTCAAAAAGCAGCCCGTGGTACTCCCTCAGGTGTGTTACTGCAAATGCCTTTGAGTTGATCTCAGGTATGTATGTGCTGTTGCAGCTCGACAGGTTTTCTATGTTTGCTCCTTCCACATTTGAGGATGTTTGACTGACTGCTGGTGTGTGTGTGTGTGTCTGTGCGTGTGTAATGCTGCGTTTTCAGGGTGCGCTGACCTGCATCTGCTGGACATGCTGAGCCCCATGGAGAGGAAGAGGCAGGGGTACATCCACGAGCTGATCGTCACCGAGGAGAACTACGTCAACGACCTGCAGCTCGTCACGGAGGTAAACACACGGGGTCTCCTCCATCCTCCATCCTCCTGACTTTATCTGGGTATCAGTTTCCAAGCATGTCTCAGTTTGTAAAATGTATCTGGACATGAGAGGAGCATGAGCGGAAGGATGCACATATCAGAGACGTGGCGCACAGCTGGAACATTAGGAGGCCTGCACAAGGAGTGATTTATGTAACACAGCATGTGCTATGTGTGCAATTGTTGACAAACAACAACAAAAAAGTCAATAAAAGTAAATTAACAACGATAAATCCTGAATTAAATGGAGGAGAACACACTGAAGCTGTAGGCTTGTTCCATATCTAATCGAAAGCTTTATTTGAACACCTCTAAAAACAAAGTTAAAGTGACAGAAAGGCAAACGCAGAACACTCAGACTGTGGGTTTAAAGAGAGAAAATACTAAAAAG